TCGATTCTCCAGGTCATCGTACGCCACTACTACCTCACTGGGCCCAGGGAGAAGTACCAGGACTTCCTGCCCAACTGGGGCGCTATTGCCCTGTCTTTTGTCATTCCTGGGCCCGTCTTCGTCAACGCTGCCTTCCTGGGTGCTATCATCGCCTTCGTATGGCGCCGATGGAAGCCAGCGAGCTTTGAGAAGCTCGCGTACGCCGTCGCTGCTGGAATGATTGCTGGTGAGGGCATGGGTGGTGTCGTAAATGCTATCCTCACACTCGGCAACGTCGCTGGCGATAGATATGGCACCAAAGGCCTGGCCTGTCCTACAAATGCGTGCTAATGTGGCATTACACTGTTCCGGCCGACTCTGCCTGGCTCGGCTCATGGGCTTGTGTTGAGGAGTTTTGTAGTGCGAATGGTTGAGATAGTCACGAGCGCTTACGCTAAATAATGTCGTCCATGTTGAGTTGGAGAGAGATACCAAAATGATTTTATGTAGTAGCAATGCAACTAATACCACACTGTCTTCGATTGACAAACTTTTGCTTGTGTTCAAACTGTCAATGGAACGTCCCAGGCACAAGAAATGGAACCTCAAATGATGTGCGAGACGGACCCGATATGATGTTGGAAGTTTATTTTCCATACGTATGTGGATTGCCTCGAGCTAGCTACCTGTCCCATAACGCCGTTTTATGCCTAGAAGATAATGTCTTCGATCGTCACCCCATGATGCAAGGCCATTGCCTAAAGAGGGGGAGATAAGTGGTGCGCCGACCATAACCCAGAATTCCGAAAACAACCTACGGTCATCAAAAGAGCCTATCTGAAGGCCGGAAATACACTCTCCTTTGATGTGTCAGGCTCCAAGCCCTCTGACTTTCCAGGGCCCTTGCCCTTGCTCTCATTCCATTCCGAAGCGCCGATGGACATCCATCCCCAGATACTCACGGCGCTCACCAGCATGATGATAGTAATAATGCTAGCACCGGCCTTGTCGCCTGTAGTGATCGGCGAAAACTCACGGTACGGGTGAGAGTTCATGCCGGCGTTCGGGTCGCCCTTTGATGTGCCTCCCGTAGAGTTGGTCGCAGGGGCCTCACGGGGGTCCATGATGCTCAGCACGGCACCCAACGCATCCATGGCTTCTCCTGCACCACTTGTCTTATCGACCGCGGGGTCTACGAATACTCCCTTCGTCCAGTAAAAGCCGCAAGCCCGTCCCGATGTTCCTCCAGTGCATTGTTTCAGTGCAGACCGAGTCGAGTTCAGAAGGACAGGCCGAATGAGCTCGCGAGTCGATGGCACCAGCTGAGATACGACGTTCATCCAGCGGTGGAGATATCCCTTGAAACTCAGCATATCTTGGGAACAGCGTCCTTGCTCAAATTCGCAGGGAACTTCGTATGCAGCACCATCGGCGAAGAAGTCCTGGAGGGCGGACTCGACGAGTCTCTCGGTGCGGTCGAACCACTTCTGTTCTCCAGTCTTTCGTCTGTCAACTTATGCGCAACACAACAGGAGATGATCATGACTTACGTGGTTGGCCATGAATGCACAGCCCTGCATCAGCACGGCGATGTTGTAAGAAAACGTAGCCTTGAAGACGTTGGTGCAGTTCTTCGGGACGTGGCCTCCGTCGTACACCCGGTAGTTCTCGTGGTCGATGTAGTTCACCGCCCACATCCAATCCCAGCTCTCTTCCGCAAATCGAGCATACGTATCATTGTTTGTGTACCGCGCCAGCCGCGCGCCCATGTTGAAAAAGATTCCGTTCGAAATGGTGTTCTTGTAGTCGTAACCGGTATTCGTGGGCGGGACCTGCCAACGCAGACCGCCGCCGCATGTCTCATCGTGGCGGTCCGGGCTGGCCTGTGTCGTCCACACGGCTTGCGCGAGCGCGAGCCATTGCGGTTGGTCTTCTGGAGGATCCGGGAATTTGTTTTCTGCTGCCAGCATGGCTGACATGCCCCAGAATCCTTGGTCATCGTTACCGAGGGAGGCGGTATGGTTTGGTGGCATGTAATCGCGCCCGGGTCCGACTTGGTGTAGCATGCCCTCCGTAACGACATGGTTGTAACTTGTATCGCCTGTGTAATACCAATAATCGATATATGTGCCCATCATTGCGCCGCCCTGCCACCAATAGTAATCTCCTTTCCCATCGTCTGGTGGTCCTGGTAGGATGCCTGGGATCTCTCCGGTTTTGTTTCCTTGGTAGAAAAGCATGAGGTCGTATGCTAACGTGCTGGCGGTGTTAAGGATATCATCTGTTACTAAAGTCAGAACCTTTCGAAACGTTGTTGGCTGACACAAGAGCGATATGTTGCGATGCATCTACCTCGTACCTTGTGTCTCAATAGAGTACTCTGCATTGACAGCCCCAGCAAGCAGCAGCGCCGCTGGCGCCACGCCCGAAATCAATGACGACAACATGTTGAGCGAGAAGAAATGTGCAGAAGCAAGCCGTCTCTCAGACCTGCTTCTGACGGATAGTAACGAGCTGTGGTATGTGTTTTGAGAGTGTTGTTCGGCGGTTAGGACATGTGGTGATGTCCTTGCGGCACTGCAAACGAAGGGCGGTCGGGTCGGTCGATCGTAGTGTTCTAGAAGACTGGGGTGCAGATTCGTCGGGGTAGATGGGGAGAGGGGGTTGGGTCGTCACTCGGTGCCTGGGACCTTGAGAGATAAATGGTTGCGTCTGCAGACGTGGTGGCTGGGATCTCCTGCGTCGAATGACCTCGCCGCCGGACTGCAGTCTCTCGTGATGGGTGCTGGTGTGATTGTACGGCTTCTTGTGCCCGGGGGATTGGCAAGAAGACTGAAAATAGACCGACAGAACGAATGCACGGCGCCGCTCCAAATATTCAGGGAGCAAGAACACAGCTGATCAAGGGAACATGAAAAGGTGGCAGACATTCAAGGAACGACCGGAAGATGCGCATGTACCTAAAAGCAGGCTTTACGGGGACATAAAATCTGGGGAAAGCAGGACGGTAACATCGGTGGTATCGATGACACTTTTGTTCCTTCGCACGACTTGGCGCCAGGACGGCGACAGGATGGCTGTACATAATGGCAAGAAATTCGGCCAGGCCACCTGAATCTTGGGGTGATGAGTGACATGGGCCAGTTAGAGAAGAACTGGACTGTTGGCCCCGTATGACAAGAAAGTTTGGGTCACCCAAGACTTTGATGAAGGCTAGCTCTGCCTGGCGGGCATGTTCCAAGAAGTGGATGACGACGCGGGCAGAAGCTTGACATCGAGAAAAATAAGAGGCGCCTGAGAAGAGGACAACACCAAGACTGCACAGCTTTGCTGGGCATTGGGGCGGTGCAGGGCCTGCCATCCAATCTCACATTCTCGCTGGCCCGGGGCCCGTCATATTCCATGTTCAGGCGGTTTTAGTGTGCAGGTACGCCAAGAGAAATATACGAAAAGAACGCGAAGGGACTGCGGCACCGTCAGGGATGGACGGTCTGGGCAGCACATCTATTGGGGTTTGGCGAGCCTGGGCGCAATCCGTATTTGTGGGATCATCCGCCGGAACGCCTGGGCCTAGGGGTCTTGGGGGCTCTTGGGGTCTTGACGGTGTTTCCAGCCGTTCCGGCTTCCGTCAGCTCACCCATCTTGTACGCCGGTTTGACACACGGGGAGCTCTTGGGATGTTTTGGCACCGGTGATCCGGCTCCAGTCCGGAGGGTCGATGAAGTCAACATTAACTTAAGGTGTTGAATGGGCGCCAGCGCGTCACCATTGGCCGCCAGGGGGCTGTTTTGTAGGGGACGGGAACAAAGACCGACCAACCAACCTCCAGGCTTCGCGCGTGGGGAGCATGAATCGGGTCTCGCGGACCGACTTTTAGATCCAGCCCCAAGGGCTTGGTTCGGGTCTAGCGCGTGTGTCCCCTTGCCGGATGGAGGCTGAGCTGACACCTTGATAGAGAGGAGATGGAAGAGACAATCTGATACAGTGGCTCTTCAGTGGACAAAACGGCAGCCGTCAGTTTGGAGGAATGCGCTGCCCCTGCCGCTCATCATCAAACTGCATTTCTGGAAGCGCTCGGCACAGCGCAAACCAGTGCACCGCCAGAATTTCATGTTACAGAGATTGTCGCCAAGAGGCTATAGGCTTGGATGAAATTCACGGACGAACTTGAAAGAGAGGCGCGCAACAAGAGTCGCGCCTAGAAGTACGAATGATGAAGGCATTTCGCTTTGCGGAAGGGTACCCACAGCCTAGCGAGATCCCTCGGCGTGCCCAAACATCAGGGGCTTCGTTATGGAATTTCTGCGGGATGAGTCCACGAGATTGAAGTGATGAAACAAACCAAGAAGACTTCGCCGAGCACTATCTGCGCTAAGTGATTGTCCTCTTCCAGATGTCAGTCCGATCACGGCCTGGTATTTCAGACCTTCGCAGAGTCGGCGTTGACAGGCCTTCAATGATACCGCATATGAACCCCTGTAGAAGAGGCCGACTAAATTTTCCGTGTTTACGCGGCTACATTTCCTGGGTATTGCGTTCAGGTACACTCGGAATAACAGTTCGAGTTAGGACAACAATAGTAGAAGAATAGCAGCACTAGAAACAATGATGAGAAAAGAATACCTGACAATAGAGGCGACGACGGTGACGATAATAAAACAGAGTTTATATGAGCCCCTGGGAGAACTGATCATTCTGGCACAGAGTCTCCTGTAGAATTGCCCTGGGCTTTCGTGCGGGGTCTTCTGGCCCAGGCCACAACTAGTAGGTAACCCCTGAAGTAGAGCCAACCAAAGGACAGAAATATGTAGTTGGAGCAACAGCTTAAATCAAGTGTTCGACGCCAGACGCTTGATTGCCACAATGGTCATTCAGTGAAGGATTCATGGATTCAGCCAAGATGAGAAAATGAATGTGGTCGCAGTCACACCATGTCGCTCGAATCCGGCGAGCGAAGACCGACAATTGACGTTCCAGCCGCGAGCCTCTGGGAGGAAAGAGTGTCATTGATTTGAGGCCAATCAGATAATGTTGAACTGACGTCGGTTCAGACCATGTAAATGGTTTTGAACCTTATCTCCCTTCCATCTGAATGAGCCAACTCGCTGGTAGCATTCGACGGGCCCTGACTTGGGAAGGACAAGAATTATGCCGGCGCCTTCGCTGCCTTCCGGACTATTCCATTCAATAATAGGAGCGCAGAATAGCCGTCCATCTGCTTTCGTCCACTGCTCTGCAACCTTTGTTAACCTCTTGGCCCCGTTAAAGTCAACCCTCTTGCTCAAGTCAATGGCTGGGGCGCTGATATGCGATATCATGGCCTCTATGTAGGACGTGTACTCGTCAAGCACGACAGACGTGTACTGGTCAAAGTTCCACCGCTCCTGATCCAAATCTTCAGCCGTCCCTGGGATGTGGTGAAAGTCCCCGTCCGCTCCCTGGAAACGAAGTGCTTCGTCTCCAACCTCGACCTCGGCCAATGGAGCACGAAGCTGTAGGCAACCCCCAGTTACTTCACCGTAGGGGGAAGGCCCTACTGTTGATAGCTTTATGTCCAGAACATCGCAGACTGAGGTTGGATGATTACCGTCAGGCCCGTACCTCGTGTGATGGAAGTACACGCCTCCCTCAACCGAAGCCCACGACCAAGACGGCGCCCGATATTCGGTTGTCCGATACTTCATCGGAACCATCTCATCAGGACCCGCAACCCAGCAAAGTGACTGAGGCAGTTGGGACCTCCACATGCCAGCGACATACTCGTCCCCAACAAAGTCTTCGTGATACGCAGTTGCAAGCCCAGCGATTGCAATCATTCTGTCGGAAAGAACAGTCATTCCGCAAGTCGCGTACTTCTCGACCAAGCTGCACCACATAAAATGAGTGAAGGTCTGTCCGGAAGCTGATGATCTCTCTCGACCTTTGGCGTTGTCCATATCATTGGGCAAGCCATCCGGCCAGGTCTCGCAGAAGGTTCCTCCGCGACATCCCCACCAGAGCTGATTGCGTGTGAGGCACAGGTTCCGAGTGGATAAACGTGCTTCTTGCAGAACCCATGAGCGGCGGTACAGCGGGGACTCTTCGACTTCTTGCATCCAAATGTCGGTGTTCGTAACGAGGAATCGCTCATTTCTGATGCCGCGCCACTTCGGAGTTATCTCCATCGGCCGAATGGTGCCCGTGTCTCGGTTCTGAAAGCTCGACTCCGAATTCTCAGCTGCGGCGCATGCTGAGATGTTGAGCAGGGAGTTGCGATACACATCGCACATGGTTGCTGCCTCGGCGCGCCAGTCATCTTTCGAATCTTGAATAATGCAAAGCGAGTCGATCCAGATGAATTTGATGCCGAACCCTACCATGACATCGAGGGCCTCTTTGTAACTTGCTGGCAACGTCGCTATCTCAATGCCGGTCCGGAGTTCGAGTTTGTTCGCCTGCAGCAGTTTCAACGTCCTCGCTTGTCCCCAACAATGGGAAAACGATGCGTAGGCTGGGCAAGCTTTGGCATGAAGATGTTCAACAACGCGAACGGAAGTTGAGTTGACGATTTCCACTAGCCTCGTGGGTCGATAATTCGTGTCGATATGCTTGGAGCATTGCTGATGATTGTTCAGGCAGTCTTTCAGCCACTTGTGAACTGGAGTCCACGACCCGGGGCTTCCCAACTGAGCAGGGGGCTCATAAGATCTCACATATGAGCTCACATCTTATTTAGAAGCATTAGTAGGCGCCCCGGCGAATCATGCGAGGTATGAAGGATGAACTTACTCGATGTGGGGACCATCTCAAACCCCCATATCGGTGCAAATCCTGACTTGTTTGGTCCCTTCATCTCAGTTCCTGTCTTTGGTAACTTGACATATCCCTGGCCATCGATATTCTCGCAGTCTAGTGAACAAGTGGTCGCCTGGCTCGACTCAGAAACATGATCTTCCTCGTCCCATCCTGCATCAATGGTCAAGCGGAGCCTTGGCTTGTTTGTTGTCGACATCCTTGGGTATGATAAGTACCAATTCGCCTTGAATGGTTGGTTTCCCTCGAAAAGCTCGAAGGCTAGACTCTTAATTATGAAACTGCAGAGATGACACCCACTCTTTGCCGCCTGCAGTACATCGTTCCTTGACTGATGGTGCGGGCGATCTTCACGTAAGACTTGCTCCCCTGTGAAGATCCCCGCGCAAGTTTGACAGAGTTGAGACTCCATGGCCCAGTCAAGCTGCATTAGCGAGGACTCTTCAAGTGGAGTTCTTGTCGATGGAAGGTGACTTGTCCTGAAAGCGTGACGCAACAAAAACACTCAGAGGCATCGTCTATCTAGTGATTTGGATGCATACGGAAAACGAAATGTAGGAGGGGGAATTCTAACGAAACTGCAATGGGCTAGTGCTGACATGCAGCCTGGTGTCTCCTCAAAGGCCCTTCATCTATCCAATCACATCTCTTGTTGCAATAATACCGCCGTCAGCATGCAGCGTGCTCAGAAAAAGGCCGAATCGTGTCTCGAGCATCCCACTAATATGCACATAATCACCTAAGCTCTTCATGGTCATAGACCGAGGGGTCCAGTGACAGTTGCTGTGGTACATGGGGCAGAATGCAACAATGCCAATCAATGCTGCCTCGATCCGCTGCCACTGTTGAGTTTGATTTGGAGAAAAACATCTGTTGCAAGCGAAGTCCTTTAAACATATCCCCAGATTCAGCTTCGGAAGACGCCTGTCATTGTTTTACTCAGCACTGGGTTAAATATCCTCCTTTCGCGGGCCCTTATCGCAAAATTGGCATTTAGTTCGTGCATCTGATCACTCACAATGCCCGTCAAGTCCAATTTAATGCTTGGTTTTCTCTTCCTTCCGTTTACTCCACGTCACGTTCAAGCTGCCGCTACCGCTTCAGACATCAAGCCTGCCGTGGAAGCCGTTGCCGCAATAGCGGCCGCAGGAGCACTGCTTCAAAGTGCAGAGGTTCAGCAGTTGACCGAAAATGTTGTAAATCACATTGTCAACCACGGCACCACAGCAAAATACGCCTCCTACTTTACCTTCGGTGACAACGCTGTCTCGCCTCCAATTGAGGCTCAAGCATACGCAGCTTGCAAAGCTTTCCCTGGCGATCCAAGTTGGCCAAGAGATGAAGTATGGGATGTTCTTGACCAACTACTTGGAGGTGCTCTGATCCCGACAAGACCTTTGGGAGCTCCCTGTTACGACTCTAAATGGGGTGCAAGAGATGACATCGAGTGCGGCAATATCATCAAGAACTCTACAAATGCCAACTTCCTTAGCGCCGACCCCACAGCCAATTACTGGCCCATCTTCCAAGGACGCACTTGTAAGCCAAAGAACGACACAACTGGTTCCGAATGCACTATCGGAGGCTACCCGGAGTATGCAATAAACGTAACAAGCGTTGCTCAAATTCAGCTTGCGGTCAACTTTGCTCGTGCCGCCAACGTACGCTTGGTGATCAAGAATACTGGGCATTGTTATCTTGGAAAGTCGCTGGGGGCCGGTTCACTCAGCTTATGGATGCACAATTTGAAGGACATTGAATATTTGCCCGAATACGAGGGACCCGGATACTCTGGTCCCGCCATGAAGCTGGCCGCGGGCGTTAGTGTCAGAGAGGTTTACGAGGTTGCTGAAAAGAACAACATTACTGTCCTAGGTGCAGTTTCTTGGGTAAGGCCTCTACCTCTGTTTCAAATTAACTACCCACTGATAACATGGCAGAGCGTGGGGTACGCTGGCGGCATGATCACCGGGGGAGGTCAGAACCCACTTGCCGGCATCTACGGAATGGCCGCCGACCACGTTGTCGCTTTTCAGATCGTGACAGCTGATGGCCGTTTCCGAACCGTATCCGAACAGGAGAATCCCGACATGTTCTGGGCTCTTCGTGGTGGCGGCGGTGGGACTTTTGGTGTCATCACATCAGTCATCATCCGCGCACATCCTCGGATAAACGTCGTGACGGCAAAGTGGACGCTCGATACTTCCAACAACAGTGTCGACCAGTTTTGGAAGGGTGTGAGAAGGTTTTACGACGAATTCCTCAACTGGACTGACGCGGGGCTGTATTCCTTCTACATTATGTGGCCTACACCGCAGCTCAGCATGAACTACATGTTTGCTCCTAACCACACTTTGGACTCCTATAACGAAGTTGTCAGGCCCTTCTTCGACTACCTTGAGGCGAACAACATCTCGTTATCAGTAACGCAACAATCCACGGCACATACGTCTTTCTACTCGGCTTACCAGGCAACGTGGGGTGCAAATCAGTTTCCCGTTGGCGTTGACACGTCGCTTCCCGCGAATCGACTGGTGCCCCGCCGAAACTTTGTCGAGAAATATGAGGATACTTATGCTCTAATCAAGTCCCACGTCTCATCCGGCAAGCACTTTTTGGGCTATCACAACGCCCCTAGCAACGTGGGTCCAAATGTCGGAAATCAGAACAACGCCGTCAACCCCGCCTTCCGCGAGATGGTCTTTTTCCTGGTGACCTCTTCAAATCGTACAGCTGATCACTCAACTACCGCTGCTCTGGCTTCCCAAAACACGTACCTCCAGGAACAGATTCTCCAACCATGGCGCGACATTGCCCCGGTTTCCGAAGGGGGCGGCACGTACCTCAACGAAGCCAGTGTCGAAGAGTCTGACTGGCAGGAGAGCTTTTACGGAGGTAATTACCCAAGACTTAGTCAGATCAAGAGAAAATGGGATCCCAACGATGTCTTCTATGCCGTCACTGCCGTGGGTAGCGAGAGGTGGACTGTGTTGGACGGGGACCAGGGCGTACAGACGCAGAATGGAAGGCTCTGCCGTGTCACGTCAGCAGAGACTAGACTGTAACAATCGTGCATCCATTTGAGGCGCTGGAGCGTTATTATATTTCCAGAATTAGTGCTATTTAAGAATGAAGGACGCTCCCACCACATCGTTTTCTAGTACTTGTACTTGAAATGGATGTTCTCCCGGTCGGTCATATCAGCTTCAGCGTTTAGCTTCCCAAGTCGCTCGCTCTCTTCCTCGGAGATGCCTTGTTCGCGAATGAGCTTCGCGCGTCTTCGGTTCTCCCAGATGTCTGAGTTCGTGCTTCATTAGCATTCGCCTCACATCCTACTGTGTTGTATGTCTTAACTTACAGTAAAACCTCCACGCTCCCATGCTGCAGAATTCGACGCAATAGAGGACAGCACAAGCAGTAAGCCCACGAATGTACTTGGGTGCATCTGAGGCCACGAACATCTGGGCTCCCACGGCGTTCCCAACACAATAAGCGACGAACAAAACAGTTGACGTGACGGTCTTCTTCGTTCTGCCGGCGACGTTGGAGGGCAAGAAGGTCCAAATCACTGCAACACAGTCAGTCACGGTCGCAAGCCCAAGCATTATACTACTTACTGAGACCAGGCAACGATCCAAATACTTGCAAGATGTACATGCCCCATCTAGTCCACTTCATGGAGTCGGTCGGGAGCAGGGCCAAAGCCATCATGCCGCTAAAGGCGGGCACCAGGGAAAACATCATCATCAGGACTTTGGGTTGTTAGCGACAATTCGGATGGAAACAAAACTCTGGGGACTTACACCGGAGGTTTGGCTTTTTCAGGGTGACGTATCCGACGACTAAGAACCAGCAGATGCTAACACAGTAGTAAGGAGTAGAACCCTTCAGGAGTGTCTCCAAATTTGAAAAGCCAAACGACTTCCAGATCAACTTTGAAAATGTGGTGTTCGCTCCGTTCGGTAAGGCGTTAATGATGGTGACGAAAAAGAAGAAGTAGGTTTGCGGATCTGTCAAAGTTGTCTCGTCAGCTTGGAGGGTTTCCATAACGCACTATTTTCTGACGAAACCGTGACGTACCCTTGAAAGTGCTCCAAACTTGCTCCCATTTGAACTCGGATCGTTTGTTCTTATCGGACCCGGTTTGGTTGGCAACCACACGAGCGATTGCCGCCTTCTTCTCGTGTTCATTGAGCCATCCCACTTCACGAGGTGTACCGAGAATGAACCACACTAGGATTCCGCATGCAATGGTCAGGCTGCCGAGGAAGAAGGAGATGCCCTTCCACTGCAAGATGGAGGTTAGCCCGTGCCATTCAGTTCCTACAAGGGATAGGCTTACTGCTGCAAGACCATTGGGGTCTTTCTGTGCATGCAACCCGATTCCATACATGCATAGACCGGTGATGATGTTCATCCCAGCATTGGATGTTCCCCAGATCAAAGACCGCAGTGTGTGCTCTTGCGATGTATACCAAGCCCCCGTGATCAGCATGAAAGTTGGTGAAATCGTGCATTCCAGAGCGCCTTGGAGGGTGCGCAGAACCATGAGGTGTGCGAAGTTCTTCGCGAAAGCAATGCAGAGGACTACGACGCCCCATAGGATCATGACAACCGAAAGGAACTTTCCAGTATGACTCTTCTGAATCAGCCAGTTACCGGGAAACTCGCACACCAAGTAAGACAGGTAAAAGATGGTGCTCAGCCAGTTGAACTGCTCGCCAACCAAGCCAGTGTCTTCGCGAAGGCCGAATACCGCTTGCACGCTGAGAGATGTCTTGTCGGCCTGTTGGGTTCCATAACACACCCACATCAACGGGAGGAGGAACAAGTCGATCTTGAAGCGCAACTTCCGGAAGTAGGAGTCGGAGTATTCAGTCGCATCTTCGATGGTGCCTTCGATAACATCGTTGGGCTTGTCGATAACATCCAAGTCGTCGGTCTTCTTGATGTCGGGTTCGGAAGTCATCTTGGCGTCAACTAGGCAGAGTGGGAGAAACACGACGATGCCCTCAATAGAATTGTCGCCAAAGGCGTAAGGTGACCTGTTGTTTGTAATTCGACTATGTAAACTACGAAGAATACCCCACCGAGAAATGGCTGCTTCCTTATATCCAACAACCATGTGAGTTGCAGTCACCGCATCTCTCTCCATCCTTATCAGCGCGCATCTGTCGGGAACCACATGTCTCTTGGTCGGCGCGTTTACGATCCGGCCGGATCTCCCCCGATCAGGCCGGTCAGGTGGCGATGTCGGAGATAGCCCGGTTTACCATGGATAAGCGGAAGCGTACGATAATGATTGGCGTACTTGGCATTGATTTGACATGGGAACTTATCGTCACACCCCAGACATCCTGTGATCGATTAGCCAATTGTTTCTAACTCCAGCGTCGCCAGCGGCCCGGGACCCGGCCGAAGCTACCCCTCATGACAACAGCTTACGCCAAACACTCAGTGTCAAGAAGATCAACAGAAGACGGAAATGCGTAGCCGCATCCAATTGCCATCAAGAAAACACTTGCTCGTCTTTTGGAAACACCCTTGATCACCTAGTTGAAATACATTCAAAGCCATGGCAAACCAAATTAAGTCCCCTGTTGTTGATGCGACAGGCAAGACACGATTGAGGGAATCGCTTGAAAGGGCGGAAAGAGGCGAAGGCCCGAGCGTCGGTCAATGGCTTGAGTTCCCCGGCTACTCCCTAGCAAGGACAGTAGCGCCTTTGGGAGAGGATGTAAGTGACTGAGTGTTCCTGGATCTAGAGTTCTACTAGGTAGGTTGAAATGTTCGCAACAATCTGACACGTTTTGACAGTGGATTCTCATCGATACAGAGCATGGAAATATCGACGACAGAGACATGTACCTTCAGGTCGGGGCCATCTCGACTTCAGGGGTGTCACCCATCGTAAGGATACCTGCATCGGAGCACTGGATGATGAAGAGGGCCCTGGACTGCGGTGCTCACGCCATCATGGTACCGATGTGTGAGACAAAGGTTCGAACGAACTTTTTTCTTCTCCATACAAGGCTGACGATTTCTTAGGAACAAGCAGAAGCTGTTGTTCGGGCATGCAAGTACCGCTCAGCTCGATGGCCTCAAGGTCTTCGCGGAGCCGGTGCCATGTTCGCGCACTCTGCATTCAATCAAACCGGTCGAGATTATTTACTCAGCGCAAACGATAACGTCATGGTTTGCGTGCAAATAGAGAGCCAAAAGGCCGTGGACAATGTGGAGGAGATTGCTGCAGTAGATGGGGTTGACATGCTGTTCATCGGGCCCAACGATCTCGCGGCATCGATGGGCTATGTGGCATTTGATCATGCTTCAATCCCCGAAGTCCAGGAAGCGATTGCTCGTGTTCTGAAGGCTGGGCTTGACGCCGGGAAGTACGTTGGGCACTTCGCACTCAGTGCCGATGTTGCGGCGGCCAAGTACAAACAAGGATTCCACTTCGTGAACTGCGGAGCGGACATCGTTGCCATCGCCGCATGGATGTCTATTGAGATGGGAAAGCTGAAGAGCCTGGTTTCTACAAAGGCCCACGAGGACAAGCTGAAGGAGGTGAATGGCACCAACGGAAATTCGGGAGCAACGGAAAACCCCAAAACGGCCACCGAGTACAATTAATCAACCCTGCCCTGAATTTCATAGATCATTATTTCTCCAAATCGTCTTCACAAAGTGTCTGTATAAAAATGCGTTGTTTTGTCTGACTGATTGTTGAAGCTTTCATCGATTTGAATGTTTGGACTCGTAGTCTGTTCAGTCCGTAACAGCGACCGGTAAACCGGGAAACTGCAGGACGACTATGCCAAAGCCGTAACGTCACTTGTAGGCGAAGATTACCTTTTTGAAAGTGCTATGAACACCCACTGACCTCGATATATGAGACCCACTCAACAACAAGCCGATAAGGAGAGGCCGGGCCGGGCTCCGAGCCGAGACTTGCCAAAGGCATCATGGAACATCGTTGGCTTCATGATCAAGCAGTGGCAAAAGCTGGGGCAAAAGTCGATCTCAAAAGCATTGAGATATAAACAGGTGTATGCTACATATTCAAGAGCGAAGACACCAAGCACCTTCAGGTCTTCTTGAACCTTACCGTTATGGCCGACGGTCTGAACAATAAAAACATGGCTGATCTTCTACCATCCTCAAATCGGTCAGTTGTGTGGGCAGGTGTCAGAAAACTTGAAATACGACAGCCACATATCCGAGTACCGAATGACGACGAGGTCTTGGTTGAAGTCATCACCACCGGTATTTGTGGGTCCGATTGCCACAACTGGGACAGTGCCAATGTCTCCCGTGAATTGATCCTGGGCCACGAGTCGGCAGGTCTCATAAAGACTATCGGAAAGAATGTTACAGACAGATTCGTCGGCCAGCGCGTGGCAATCGAGCCCGGATTTTCATGCAAGGAGTATGCGACGCCCCGGCCCAAAACCCTCGTTGTGGACACTGATTCTAAGCAAGCCTCCCTTTGGCCGTAGGTGCGAATTTTGCGGACGAGGAAAACAAAACATCTGCTCCAGATTGAAGTACTGCGGGATGGATCCCACTGACGGGACTCTAAGTCAGTACTTCACCTGCCGGGCTTCTAACACGGTTCCCATTCCTGAGGATGTTTCTTGGGAGGAGGCGGGTTCGATCCAGCCGCTAGCGATTGCGGTTCAGGTTGCGAGAAGGGCATCACTGAATCCGAGTCAAAGCCTAGCTATTTTGTGAGTAAAATCCAGAGCGGTACTCAGTCCCTCGAGAAACATTCTTGTGGCCCTGTCAATCTTGATGCTGACAGGTGACAGTGGGTGCGGACCGCTTGGCCTCCTGATTTTAGCGGTTGCGAAAGCTTATGGGGTCAAGAAGATCGTGATGTTCGACATTGAAGAGTCTCGGACGAAGTTTGCAGAGTCCTATGGAGCTGATGTCGGAATTGTCACGCCAAGACATAGCGACCCTTCTCAAGACGTCTTGTCCTTCTCTCAACATTACGCCAGGGAGGTCATCACCAAGTACGGCTTGGGATACGGCTTTGATGTTGCTATCGAGGCTAGCGGCGCTGAGATATGCGCTACGATGGCAATTTGCATGCTGAAAGCAGGCGGAACATGTGAGTTGCGCATGCCGACTCTCGTGAACACCCGTCGTGCTGATCGATATCAGGTATACAGGCGGGTCTGGGAAGGCCGATGGCATCGTTGCCCCTTTTCTTGATTACAGCCAATGAACTTGACGTAAAGGGTAGGTTTCTGCGCAGCTTCTAACTTAGATCCTTGCTGACAAATATTCTTCGCAGGAACTGTTCGGTACACTCATGGATGTTTCGAGGATGCCATTAGTCTGTTATCTACGAAAAAGGTTGATCTCAAACCGTTGATCACGTCCACCTACCCCCTGACCCAGGCAAATGAGGCATTTGAGGCGCAGCACGCCAGAAGAGACATTAAGATAGTTATTTACAACCAGATGTAAGAGACCACCCATCTTTTTGTGCTAGAGCAACCGCCGATTCTTTGTACTCGGTGCATAGCGTCGCCGTCGACGTCGCTCGTATGTACTTTGTTTTCTCTAATTGGAGACCTGAATCGTTTTCTGCAATTGTTGTATTCGTCGGTATGATCATCTGGACCGAACCTCATCTACATTCGGTCTTGATCGAAGGGTTGAAGTCCACTGAGTAAATAGGGGATAGCCGGGTACACATGTAAAGGTTAAGCGGTCTCAAGATAAACTACATCTAGTGGTTCGTCATACTACTTAGCCAAGAGCGCCGGCATCAATCCCAAGACGAGAATAAGACTGGATCCAAAGGATCGAATGGAAATAACTCAGACCCAGGTATTTCGCCCCACAGAAAGTTCTCACCCCCAGTTCGGGGAGTGTTCGTCCCCTCAAAGTCATCCATCGTTCTTTTGTTGGTGTTCCTCTTGGATTGGACTGGTGAAAAACTGTTTTGGCTTTGGCGAGTATTATGATCAAGAGCCAGCTTGCTTTGATGGTGCTGTAGCAACTGTTCAATGATAACCCGGCTTCGCTTCGCGCCAGACCACCGAACTTCAACATCCTTCAAGAACGAGACACATTTCTTTACATCATCCAGAACCTCTGGGTTAGAGTGACTTGATGGCATCCGTAGGCTGTTTCCATATTGCGCATCAGCGACCACACGTCAAGAGAATCAGAGCCCAGGCGGGGGATTAGACTTACAGCACGATGCCAGAGAGCGTCATATAATGAACCGAGAGAGCCAGATAATGTGAAGTAGGTACCAAGTCTCGGACAATGTCCGCAGCATGAATGCAAATTTGTGCTGCACTCACGCATTGAGATATGGCACCTGATATGTCTACTTCCTCATCCAGAGCGGCTTGTTTAGGGTAATTTAAGAAGCAGCTTGGCTCATCAGTATGGAGGACTTGGGATACGACAGGAGTTGTTCGGGACACACGTACCGGTATAGGTTCAGGAGAGAACCCGCATGCAGGATAAAGATAATGACACACATCACCAAAGCAGGATCGCCTCCTGGACTCTTTTCCATGCTGTTGGCCGAGAACTGAATGTGCGGTGGCAGACTTGCGAGCCAATTTCGCAGAGCCTGGTCGTACGTATCAACGCGGGAAAGAAATCTCTGTATCTTGGCGGAGTCCGCAGAAGCGAGTTTCCGAAGGTTCAGAGGTGAATTGAGATGCTGGATCTTGCCAGCCAGTCGAGAGAGGCGAGCGAACGCGAGGAAACCGCTCATGATGCATGGTCCTTCGCATTGGATGTCAACCTTGGCTGGATGGTATGTTCTGGACTTCAGGTAGTAGGGTTCGAAGTTTTCATCTTTCATGTCCATTGGTAGCTCGCAATCACAGTCGTCGTCTTGGACAGCCATTGGACGGCCAAGACAGATAGATGTGATTCTGGAGCTTAAGGGTCAGCACAGGTTGACTATGCAGTAAGTTGTAGACAGGATATGTACCTATCAAGCGTGTATACACACCACCATATGCGTCGGGACAGTTGGAGTCGTAGGAACTCAGATTGTCTATTTTCCGAGAGTTCTGGTGCCAGGGATAGTATCTTTCTGTCGTCAGCGACTTGATGATCGGAAACACGGGAGTACGGAAGACGCACCGATCGGCTACTTAAGTGCAATCCCATATCTTGGGCAGCTCTTACTGCCTGGCCCGCCAAGTTCCAACTTTGAGACAACGTATTCCATCCGGCGGAGCACATTGACAGTAATGCTAAGCACTGGACCCTCTCAAGCGACGCTTCGCCAGTGGATGCGTAAAACATGAGCAGTGCTTTCTGATAGTATTCGATCCCAGGAAGCTCGCTCTCCGAGTTCGACGGGAGGAGGCTGGATGAACAAGCACAAACAGCAAAGAAGACCATCAAGAAACGGCGATGTTTGGGGGAAGAACAATCGCGGCCAGCTTTCAGCAACTTCTGGTAGCGTCTCATGAAGTGGGGCTTGAAGAGAACGGGAAAGGTGTAGTGCAGTTTGTCAAAGTAGAGACTGATAAGAAGATCGGCAATGTACTGCGGAGGTCGAGGAAGGTCTTCTGGTTTTGGTATGAAGGGCAGCTCGGGCCACACTTTCCCACGGACAAAGAGGGGAAGTTCGAGGTCATCGGTGCTGAGCGCGCTTTGGCTCGCTCCAGTTGATGAAGGGGTTGTTGTCAAACCAGCGGGCAGCAGGCTCTTTGCAGCTTCTATCAGGATGTTGTGTGTGGCTCCACCGATGAACCTGATCCGGACGTGAGATTGTGGCCATGAGAATGCGATCCAGCAACTTACCTGGGACGGCCATATGAATCACGAACCAAGGCACCGACCTGGCCGATTTCCTCGTCGTCACGTCCTTCAGCGGGACCATCTTGACGTTGATCATCGTTTGTGTCGGAGTCGTCGCTGTCAGACGAGTCGAGCATGTCATCAACGACGTGAGACTGGCGGACTCGCAGTGGGGCCGCTACTCGGTTTGTATGTACATTGCCATCCAGATTGCCAGTCTCAGGGTCTTGCACATGAGAGGCATTTCGGAGCCCCAGTACCGACTCTTGAACGTTAGGCAGAGAGTTGAGGACTTGGGCAGCCCTCAGTAGGTCCTCGCTTGGGCTTGCCAAAGAACCGACTCCGGATGACTGATGTATGGCCTCCAGCGATCGCGACAATTGGCTTGTAAGAGTCTCTAGCCTTTGACACAGGGAGTCCATCTGCTGACAGCGCGCCTCGAACGACGTAGTATAGCTAGCAAGTTAGCAGTTAATACGAATGTTGTCGCTGTTATGGAGTTCCAAGGCAAGGTTCCATGCCTGATGTCACTTACTACCGGCTTGCTGACGCGTTGTCTTTGGTCCCAGGGAACTCACAAGTCTGGTCTCGGGAATTACAGTTGTGACAAGGCTGTTTACCGTCGCATTTGATCTGTCGAACATGCGTGTCAATCTCCATGGAGGTGTCTGGATCTTCCATTTTGTGCCATACCTTCTTTCGCCGGCACGCGAGGCACGCTTGCCACACCCGACTGCCGGCCGGCTCGGCGGCGAGTGGGGCATTCGGACCAGCTGCGTCTTCGGCGCCGAGAGCTGACATACCGGCGCTGACCTCTAGAGCGAGGCTTTCTGCTTTTTGTCGCGTCAAATATGTCGATCTGACACAAGATTCCCTGAGAACGATGAGATGCGAATGCGGAGTTCTTAGCCGTAAAGATGGGGAGGCCAGCAATCTGCCGAGGTCTTATCTCCGCTAATCTGTCATTGAATCCCCAGCCCCACTCCTCTTATCAGTTGCAATTGGATATTACTGGGATTACTTGAATACAGGTTCTAAAAGGAGAACCCGATTCGAATTCAGTGATGTTTTTAGTCGCGCGTCTTGTTGAGAAAGGATCTACTCGCATGCAAACTGGTATAACATCAAGGAAATGGTTCAGTTCGATACGACGTCTCAGTCCCTAAAAGCCTCAAATACAAGTTGTCGTCACTCTGCACTTGATCCGTTGTCACTAGTCCCGTCTTGCCAACGTATCGGATACGTACTCCCTGAACCAACTGATCATTGAGCCCTCCTCTGCTATCCAACCCCAACTTCCCACTTGTAGCGCCTGCGGCCGCAGCAGTCACCAGTGCAGTGCTATTTGTTGGGTTGAACTCATCATCAATTGACGATCCCGTCCATAACCCAGACCAAGTGTACCACCATGCCACGACTAGGATGTAGACGAGTAGGGGTAGAAAAATGAGCAAAGCAGTTGGCGTCGTCTGGTGATAGCCCATGCGAAAGACATCGTACGTCCCGTTGACGGTACTACGACCGTCGGCTTCGTTGGCCGCGTAGTAAATCCGAAGATTTGTTCCTTCGTACTCGATAATCCCCCCGCATCGCAGCTTCGACTGCGCCAGCATAGGAAAAGTTGCCTGAACCGTCTTCCCTCGTGTTCAGACTAAGCATCGAATCGATCAATCCACTTCCCTGTTTTGTGAATGCATTTGTCAGAAAAGCCAAGATCTAGCCGCAAAAAAATGAAGACGTACCCAGCTAGTTGTTAATATCATAAAAAGAGAATTAATAGCGTCAGCAGTCTCATTTAGAATCCTTAAGCCGCCCATTCTTTCTATCACGCTCGACGTAAAGAGCCCTATGTCCATAGAGTAGCCCACAATATTTTTAGTGATCATCAGTTCGAAAGTGCAAGTTATATTTAGAAGAGACAGCAGAGCGCGTAAGTATCTTCCTATCAGAGTGTTATAATCAGCTATCTAATAGTAGGGTCTGCTAATAGAAGCTAGGGATTAACACGTTATAATAGTATACTGAGGTTATAGTCTAAGTTATAGGTTATAAGCTATAGTAGATTAGGTTTTTTAGAGATTAAAGTAATTAGTCTTAAACTTAATAAGTAATTTATAATAAAAGTAAACTAAGAGTATCTATAAGGATAAATACTAAGTTAATTACTAAAAAGCTATAGAAGTCTAACTTTAAGTAAGGTTTAAGTTATACTATATATAAGTTCTAAATAGTATTCTTTATCTACTTTTAGGTAATTACCTAAGTATATAGGTAATTATAATTAGTTAGTAATACTAATTAATTACTAAGTGTTTCTTTTTATACCCTACTAATTATTTCCTTATTTTATTATTATATAATTTATACTATAGTTCTTCTATTCTAAATAAGTCCCTATTATTCCTATTAACTCTATAGTATAAATATCCTATCTTAGCTACCTAATACCTAAGTAGGTTAGTTAACTATTATCTATATATAATAAGTTATAATATTAGGTCCCCTCTTTAAAAGGTTTTATCCTTAAAACCTAATATAAATAGGTTATTAGTCTTAAGTTAAAGATCTATTAATTATACTTCTTATTTTACCTATAATATTAATACTATATTAGGTTATATTTAAAAATTAAAATTAAGTACTACCTCTACTCTTTATTATTATAACTATACTTTATATATTAC